ATTGTATTTATTTTGAGTGCACCTCACGACAAAGTGCACGTCATTGATCCCTCAAGCTCTCGAACTGCGTAGTGTTTAGTCCTTTGGTGAACAAATCAGCAATTTGATTTTCTGTCCTGATGTATTTCATCTCAATATCTCCTTTAAGGACTTTATCTCGTATGAAATGATAATGAACCTCCACATGTTTTGTCCTTGCGTGAAAGATTGGGTTCTCTGCGAGTCGTATTGCTGATTGGTTATCACAATGTAATGTTATTGGCTCCTCAGTTGGTTGATGAAGATCTTTTAGAAGTTGCATCAACCATGCACTCTCTTGAGCTGCCATTGCTGCTGCTCTATATTCTTCTTCTGTAGTTGATAATGACACTGTTGGTTGTCTTTTGCTACACCATGACACTGTGCCCGTTCCAAGACTAAATGTGTAACCAGTGGTAGAGCGACGAGTATCATGATCTCCAGCATAATCAGAATCACAATGGTCTACCACTTCAAATGATGCATCTCTTTTATAAAATATGCCAAAATCCAAAGTTTCTTTTGCGTACCTCATTATGCGCCGGATTGCATCTAAGTGTGGCTTCCTTGGCTTCTCCATGAACCGACTCACTACTCCTACCGCGAACATGATATCCGGCCTTGTGATTGTTAAGTAGATAAGACTTCCAACAAGTTGTCTGTACATTGTGGAGTCCTCCAATTCTTGACCTTCAACTGTGCACATCTTCACATTCGGCTCTATTAGAGTTGATATTGGTTTGCAATCAAGCATCCCAAACTTTTCATGTATGTCTTTTGCATACTTGTGTTGGCACAAGAATATTCCTTCTTTAGTACGTTCAACCTCAAGGCCCAAGAAATGTTGTAGTTCTCCAAGCTCTTTCATTTGGAACCTCACTAATAAATTTCCTCGTATTTCATTGATCTCCTTCTCATTATTCCCGGTGATTATTAGATCGTCCACATATATCAATATGACCGATACTTTCCCACCGATATACTTCACAAACAAGCTTGAATCAGAAGGAGCAATTGAGTAACCACTTTGTACCAAGAATTCAGCTATCTTCCCATACCATGCTCGTGGTGCCTGTTTCAATCCGTATAATGCTTTTTTGAGTTTGCACACAAACTCTGGATGTGATTTGCTTATAAATCCCTCAGGTTGCTCCATGTAGATGCTTCGATCTAGCTCTCCATGTAAGAAAGCATTCTTGACGTCCATTTGCCACAACTTCCAAGATTGTCTTGCTGCTAGTGCTAGTAGGACTCGTACAGTAGTGATCTTCGCTACTGGGCTGAACGTCTCATCATAATCAAGGCCATACTTTTGAGAGAAACCTCGAGCGACTAGGCGTGCTTTATATCTTTCAATTGATCCATCTGGCCGAGTTTTCAACTTATAAACCCATTTACAAGTTATTGGACATACCTCTTTGGGTTTAGGAACCAACTCCCAAGTCTCGTTCTCTCTAAGGGCCTTGATCTCCACTTCTATTGCCTTTTTCCATTCGGGACTTTGTGAGGCGTCTTTGAAAGTAACTGGTTCTTTTGGCCCATTATCTTCCATTAGTGCCGCATTTGCATACTTTGGGTTTGGCCTCCTTCTTCTTGTCGACCTTCGGAGAGACTCATTTGGCTCTTCAAATTCCTCATACTGACTTGGCCTTGCTTCTTCATTAATCTTATCATGACTTCCTGTTTGCCATGGACCTTTATAAATCTCAGGTGGTTCTTCATTTGATACTTCCACATTTGTGTCACCTTTTTCTTCTTCTCGTTCTTTTAAGATCTCTTCAATTTCTTGTGAATCTGGAAGAACAACTTCTTGAGATGACCACCATGATGATGCTTCATCAAATACCACATTTCTTGATGTATAGCATTTTCCAGTTGTAGGATCACAACACTTCCATCCTTTCCTTTCATCATCATAACCCACGAGTATGCAACGAATTGCCTTTTATCAAACTTGCTACGTAGGTGACCAGGAACAAATACGTAGCATACACAACCAAACACCCTGAAGTGACTTACTGTGGGCTTGAGATTTTGTAATTTCTCGAATGGTGAAACGAATCCAAGCTTTGCTTGCGGCAACCTGTTAACCACATGGGCTGTCGTTTTCATACACTCGGCCCAAAACCGTGGGGGTACATTCTTCGAGTGCATCATACTTCTTACAGTCTCCGCCAAGTGTCTATTCTTTCTCTCTGCAACCCCGTTTTGTTGAGGCGTACTTGGGCATGAGAATTGTCTTCTTATTTTACACTCTTTTAGAAATTTATTAAATTCTTCAGACGTGTATTCTCCCCCGTTATCTGTGCGTAGGAATTTGATATTGTGGCCTACTTCTGCCTCAACCTTTTCTTTGAATACCTTGAACTTGTTTAAAGCTTCTGATTTTTCTTTCATAAAATCAACCCAGACAAATCTTGAAAAATCATCGATGAATGTAATCATGTACCTGAAGCCGCAAACTGAAGGTTGGTTTACCTTCCCGAATACGTCTGCGTGTATTAGCTCTAGCGGCGCTTTGGCTCTAAACTTTGACTCTTCATATGGAAGCTGATGAGCTTTTCCATATTGACACCCAGCGCAAACCACATCATCGTGAATTTCTAGTTTGGGGAGACCCTTTAGCATTTCCTTCTTCATCATCACCTTTAATTTCTTGTAACTCACATGCCCAAGATGTGCGTGCCACAAGTCTGGTGTCTCATTTTTCCGTGTCTTATATACATATGCCGTTTGTGCAGACATTACATAGATAGACTCAACTCTTCATCCCTCCATGATTGGTTCCTCATTTTCTTGTAGATGCCGATATACTTTAACATAGTCTGGGCCGAACACCACATATTTGCCAGATCTTGTGAGTTGTGACACCGATAGTAAATTATTCTTCATACCTAGCACGTGCATGGCATCTTGAAGCTCCACTTGCTCAGCATTGAATCGGGGAGTAATCTTTGTTTGGCCAACATGAGTGATAGGTAGTTTTGAGTTGTTTGCAGTGACTACAACTCGTCGTACTTCATACTTGTTGATGTTTTCTAATTTGCTCATGTCACCCGTCATGTGATTGGAGCAGCCAGAATCTACTATCCAGTCATTTTCATAATTTATAAATCTATCACTCACCGTGACAAGAGCCGTTTCTTCTTCTTCCTCTTCTTCAATGATGCAAGAAGCTGCAAGGTCTTGATCATTGTCCACTGCATAGGCCACTGGAAAATCTCATTCTTCTTCACTATTGCTTTCCTTTAGAGTTGATGTTGCTGCATTTCCTTCAACTCTTTGAAGTCTGCAATCTCTAGCAAAATGACCTATCTTCCCGCAATTGTAGCACTGGTCGTTGCTCCGTCTATACTTCTTCTCGTCTTTATTTTTATCATGACGGGCTTGATTAACTCCCCCTCGATGAGAGCTCCCTTGTGGCCTCTTTCACCAATCTTCATTATGTGGATTTATATTTGTTGGTCTTGCGCTTCTTCTATCTCGTCCGAAACTCCTTTTATTGCTATATAAGGCGGTCTCATCCTCTTTGATTGAGACTTTAGATATTTGTTTATCTAAAGCCTCTTGGTTGGCTAATAGGCTCTCTAACTCCGTTAGAGTTGGCTCTTTTGCCCATCCACGGGTAGCGGTAATAATACCATTAAATTCCGGTCTTAACCCATGGATTATGATTCTTCTTTTTCTTGTATCGGTTATGGCATTTTGCGGATCTAATTTTGATATTTCGTCACAAATTCCTTTGACTTTATTAAAATATTGACTCACTGACATATCTTGTTGAGAGACCGAGAGAAGATCATTTTCCAACCGTTGGAGCTTCGCATCATTCGTCCTAGCAAAAAGTGCCGCCAAAGTATCACATGCATCTTTGATGTGCTGCAACAACTCGTGTTCAATTGTTACGGATAGAACATACATGGCCTTCCCCACTTTTATCTTCCATTTACTTAATTCCTCCGCATTTGTGTGTGGCGATGTGTTGTCATTACTAATGATGTCCCACAAATCTTGTCCAAGCAAATAAAATTGCATACGAACACTCCAAGTGTTGTAGTTGGAATTGTTAAGTTTTTCGACGCCACTTACCGAATTACAGATATCCATAGTGACTTGAATATATGACGATCAATATTCCAAGCAAGTTTGGTCCCAGACCAATCGAATTCACAATCCCAGATTGTGCACTAATAGTACCTCTGCGTCGCTTTAACTCTTCACGGACAATCGCCCCCGATCACCGGCTCTGGTACCACTTGTTGAGATTTGGAGGAATAAAAGACAATTTTATTAATATAAAATATTGAGTACAAAGATGGGGAGTCTCTCTTACTCTCACTCTTGAGAATGCTTCACTCACTTGGTGGTGATGGAGTTGTGTCCATCCACCTCTATTTATACTAGCTAGACTAAGGAGGTGAGAGTGTTTCTAGAACCTCCCACATTAATTACATTCTAGATTATTCTCACATCTATTACATTCTAGAGTATTTCTATCTAACTCTTATTCAATACTCTATCTAGAGAATTCTACACTTCCTAGAATTCATAAAGAAGTTTATAGAAGATTCTAGAGAACTTAATAAAGAAGATTCTAGAAGATTTTAGAGAGTCGTTGACTTTTCAACATTATAAACATTTATTAGAGTTGTATTAACTTAATACCGTACTAGGTTAGATCGTACATATTTACTCAGAGCCATATCAATGTAAAGATATTCTGACATCTACATTTCAAAGTAGTTGATCTAATATATTAATCAATCTATGTAGTTCTATTTTAAAATGTCTAGCGACAATGCTAATAATAGAGATGATATTAAGTGACGTTGTCAAAATGTACTTACCATATAAGTTGACAAGGTTTTATTAATGTTTTCCGATTCATGACACGTTTTCCATAAACTTAAACAAATAATTAGCATAGTTCGATCATACCTACACAAAAATATTCAAAACCCAATTGGCAAAGTTGTAAAGCGGGTTTATATTGTATGGAATATTAATTTAATATCTTACATAACATGCCATAAACAAATACCAAAGTGGCATCATAAGTTGGCTATAAATACAACCTACAACTTATAATATATGTATTACTTGACCACATAATTTACACCAAATACATCATTTAGTTTTATCATGTCTAGCAACACTGCGCCGCGACTAAGAGGGTCTATCGGGGTCGCAAATGGTTCCTCTCACAAAGGTCGAAAATGAAACCAATTGTAAAGTAATGATTTCTAAACATCGTTCAGGTCTTTTTAGAAAGGCCAGTGACTTGTGTGCTTTGACTGGGGCAGATATCGCTATGGTGATATTTTCACCTGCAAATAAAGCTTATAGTTTTGAGAACCCAAATCTAGACGTTGTTCTCTATAGATACTTTGATGAAACCGATACATCCCAAGAAAATGTCGCTGATGAGATTCTTTGTGCACATCGTGAAGCCAATATGAGCACACTGACTCCCCTCATAAGTGACATGGAGTCTCAAATTTATGATCAAATGAAATCAAGTCAAGCTTTTTCTAATGCTGAAATATGTAGACCTTCTCTTTCTGATTTCCATTTCGGTCAACTGAAGGACTTGAAATACAACATGAAAGAACTTCGCTTTCAAACTTATGACACATAGGTGGCGTGTTTGGCCCTATCTCATGTTTTGGGATCAATAATGATGGTGTGGGACCAAGTGTAACAAGTTAGATCATAACTTGTCCCAATAGTTTTTATCAATGTTCCCGTTTTCACGTTTCCGATAATATGTGTGATTGTTATTGGGAAAATATATCTCTATTGTTTTTCCTTCACTAATTAACGCTTTCATTTGGAAGGGTTTATATGCACGTTATTAATGACCATCATCAATAAAACTAAGATAATTATCATGAAAAGAAATGTGCAAATATAGACTCTCATTTTTAATCAAATGGCTCCATGTAAGAGCCATTTATATATGTACAATAAACTTTGGACACTTTAGTACGTAAATGAATTTGAACACTTAGCTTGTTCCTTTTACTTATCATAGGTTTTCACGTCAACACACACGACATAGAAAGGCATCTCTTACATGACTTCATCTGCAATTTTTAAGGTACTTGTGAGTTGTGGCCTTCTTATGGTTTAAGCCATCTATATTCGATGCTTCCCTATTCTTGGCTTTATCGAAATTGTAAGTCGTATGAACTATTAAATGTTGCTTAGTACGTAGCTTAGTTTCATACGGAAGGATTGTGATGCGTACTATATTTAGTAGTGCATAAACACCACATTTTAGAATGATTTTATATTATGTTTACTTAGCTTTTGTACAATTACGGTGTAATCTTTATCTTCTAAAATTAAAGTAGAATTAGAAGATATTAAGATATTTTGACATGTAAGCAAAAACATGATGAAAAGAAGAGAAAGGAGCTTGGGAGCATAAGGAAGCAGCATTGGAGACAAGATGAAGCTTCATGGAGGACAAAGAAATGTGAAAAATCGAATATGATTTGACCCGGAGATCATAAGAGATCAAATAAAGCAAGTGAACATGGGAAAATCAGATTATGTCTTAGACCCAACCATCTCACTTCTCCTGTAAAAACACCTCTTTTCTTCCTATTTTAGATATCAATTAATCCTCTCTTTCATATACACATTATTCTAGTACTTTAGGTAGTCTTTTGAGCTTGGTTTTGCTCTTGAAGCTTGTTGATTATTAAAGTTGTGAGTTATTTTCTTAACTTCTTCCCTTGAATATTAATTCTTCCCTTAATCTATCTCTATATTAATGTTGGGGAGTGTTGCTAAGATGACAATTAGTTAACATCTCGACATTAATTACTACTAGAAACGATCAATGAACCGATGGTTAATCGTTGATGGTTTCACAAGTAACTTCGGTTTATTAATGCACGGTCGTGGTTAATAAACTTAAGAGGGATTAATTGTGTTGGTTAAACCGAAATCGTTGTGTTGAGGTTATCAATCTCAATTGATTTCATTAACGAGTTAAGAGATTAATGCTACTATCAAGTCGGTATATGGCGGTGTTCTATACTTGACTAATAGTAAGGGTTATTAATGAACGGTCGTTGTTAATAACTACCCTCGATGAATTGGAGATACTCCTCGATTGAGTATTCGAGAGGGGATAAGTCATAGATATAACAATGATCGACTAAAATATATCAACAAGTGGAAAGTAACAAAACCAAAGTCGATTACCTTTGATATTTTATTTCCCTCATTTTAGTATTTTATTTTCTTTCTCAATTATCAAAATTTCCAAATCCCCTTTTTGTTTACTTTTATTAGTTACGCTTACACATACGTAAAAAACACATTTCCCTGTGGATACGAACTCTACTACGCTATACTACGGTATTAGCGCATAGTAGTGAATTTAATTTGAGGCACACTACGACAAAGTACTAACCTCTCCTAAGACTAACCTCTTAGGAAGACTAACCTCTCCTAAGACTTACAAGAAATCAACTATCAAGTGTTGCTTTTTCAAAAATCAGCCTTTATGGGGAGACAAGATAATCTCATTGAGATAAACTCACAAACACCGAGTGTTTGAGATTTTTAAAACATATCTTGTGTAATTAAACTTTACTAGGCTTGTGCTTTAATGCAATAAGAAACCCAAATTGTGAGCTTCATTTTACAACCAATATATGCTCTTTAATTTAAAAAAGAAGCCTATACTGGTGAATTTTTTCTTTCGTCTTATTTTTTCCTTAACTTACGAGGTTAATAATCTTGAAATGGAGTCACCAGCAAAAAAAAACTTGAAATGGAGTCTTGGCGCACCGCGCGCCAGTTGAGATATTATTGTGTGACCGAGAGGTCAAGGATTCAAGTTTTGGCAACAACCTCTTGTTAATTAAAATTTAACAGGAGAAGACTTTCCCCTTATACGCTCTAGTGATGGGGCCCTTCCTCGGACTCTCGCCTTGCATAGATGTCTTCATGCACTAGACCACCCTTCATGTAGTTACTAATCTTTTTCATTGTCTTAACCCACATAAATGAACAACGGAAAAGTTCTTTATGAAAGTTCCAACAATTTTAATATAAAACAAGGGGCTAAAAAGTGTTTCATACTCTACTATAAAGTGTTGCTTCAAAATTTCTAAAATGTGTATAGACTATTAGGTGTTGCTTTCAGGGAAAAATGAACTATTGAGTATTTTAATCCAACACTTGACATCACTAAACCGAATGGGAAAATAATGAAGCTAAGTGTTTTTAATAGTCTTTAGTTAAAAGTATTGAGCATTTCTTGCATAATTCTTCAAAATTTGTCTCCCAATTAGGGGCTTGATACAATATAATGCAAATCATTAATAAGAAATGTAAAAACTGTCATGGAGACAATTTACAAACACATAATGTGCTTCATATATTTTAAAACACTTATCTTCGATGAAAATTTAAGTATGCTTGTAATCCAATAAAAATACAAATGGTGAGCTTCATTTTCTTATCAAATCTGTTTTTTGAATTTCTCAAATTTACATATTTAAAGCAATTACCAACTGTTATCAGGTAAGGCAACTAAGCTGATATGTATAATAGACTAATTAATAGTTTACCGGTTTGCTAGCTATTCGGAATTGAGAAGTTTTATGAAAAGTTTTTGGTAACCTTTTATAATGGCTCACACCCAACACCTACAAAAGAAGACTCATAATTCAAGGTCATTGAATGATATAGTTGAAATAAAAGCATTTTTTTTAGTTGAAATAAAAGCATCAATAAGGGAATTTATAAAAATTTATACCTTCAGTTAACATATATAGACCTTTGAAAATGAAAAAAAATCTTTGTCAAAAAGTTACTGGAATGAAGGATTTGAATAAGGGAAAAATCCCGAAATAGAAATAAAAGAATATGAGAATTCCAAAATAGGACTGCCCTGTGTTCATTGCCAAAATAGGCGTAACTAATGTCAAGCTTGAAAAATATTGTCATGCTTAAGGTCTGGTACTGTCAAATAACAGTAATTACTCCTATTTTGGGAATAAAACATGATAGTCCTATTTGGATTATATATAAACGTTTTTGTCCTATTTAGGGTAATTTCCCTTTTAACAAGGGTTACTGCAAGACAGAAGGTATAAAGAAGTGTTTCATAATATTTGCCATGAAATGTAAATTGTTTTCAAATGATATTTATATTGCATGTTACTTACTATTTTGTGGGCTATAAAAAAGTTATGTACTACCCTATAATCATTAGTAAATTGTATTTTATATGTTTCATTTACGTCAAGTTTTATTATTGTGTGGAGTATAATTCTAAACAGTTCAATTAAAATTACAAGTTTGTTTATTTTTTAATTAATATTTTGGATGATGTTAATTATACCCGCGAAATTTCACCAACCGTGCATCACACTGGTGTTGATGAAGAAGGAGCCACTGATAAGATTCAGAATGTTGTATTCAAAAAGTGCTCAACAATGTTTAAGATTACATGAAATGCATATTTACAATGTTATGGTTTCTTAGTATTTGTTGGATGTTTTTGATCTTTTAAGTAATGCTTAGTGCTCTTTTTTTAACCATAATATTATAAGTATGTTTCGTTTATTGCTTTGAGCTATATCAATATTCCATGGAGATAAATATTATCATCAATTGATAGTGTAATTTTAATTAGTAAGTGCAAATAAATTTGAATAAAAAAATTCTCCCACCGTGCATCGCACTGGTGAGTTTATATAATAGACTAATAGTTTTCCGGTTTGATATTCATGGAATTCAAGAAGTCTTATGAAAAGTTTTTAGAAACCTTTTATAATGGCTCTCACCCAACACCGACAAAAGAAGGCTCATGAATCAAGGCCATTCAATGACATAGTTGAAAAGGCATTAAATTAAAACAAAGGGAAAAGGGTCAAATAGGCCCTCGAACTTACATAAAAAGGTCAAATAAGCCCTTATATAGGAGGCTCTATCCGGCCGTCGCCATTTGGGGAGGTTCCCGATGGAATTTTTTGATGAGCTTTTTTGAGCATCTTATTCATTAAATCTAGTTTACTCATACCAAATTTTAGATAACAATTCAATCGGGAAGGCATTCAAATGAAATCTTGAAGATAACTGCGTTTTTAATTGCGCAGTTATCTTCAAGAATTCATTTGAATGCCTTCCCACTTGAAGTTTTATCTGAAATCTGGTATGAGTAAACTAGACATAATGAATAAGATGCTCAAAAAAGCTCATCAAAAAATTCCATCGGGAACCTCCCCAAATGGCGACGGCCGGATAGAGCCTCCTATATAAGGGCTTATTTGACCTTTTCATGTAAGTTCGGGTGCTTATCTGATCATTTTCCCTAAAACAAATGAAAAGTCACTTCTGTTTTTATGTATGAGAAGAGCATATTTAAACAGTTAGAAATTACAAGAATTATGCGCAACTAATCCGGACTAGTGGATAGACAAGGGGAAGTACAAAGAACAAAATAAGAGACCGTTTGGCAACACTGTTTTTCGGCTTATCAGGTTTATCATCCAACTTTTCACCAAACATTTAACTTTTGTTTTCGCGTGCTGAATTGTTTAATAAGCAGAAAAAGTAAGGTTGGAGTTACTTTTATGGCTGTATTGGCTGAAATTATTCTAGATGCCCATTTTAGCTATTTTACGTATATATTTTTCTCTATTTTATTAATAAAATATATTTTAAAAATATTTTTTTCTTAAATCAGCAGAATTAGCCAATGCAGCCACTTCAGCCAAAACTTCATAAATTTTAGCGGAATCAGCCAAATCAACCGATTTTCGTGCTACCAAACGGGCTCTAAAATCAAGACTTCTAAAGTTCTAACTACGTAGTATAATTAACGGAGAAAGAAAGATATAAGAACAACAATGTAAAGTTCAACCTAAGGTCCTGAACAATTAGATAATGCTTGAATGTTACACCAACACATTTTATATTTCCAATTGGCCATTACCGTCATTCACATTTGTAAGTTTTTAGTTTTATTAAAAGATCAAAAGACCCGGTGTGAAAAAACTATTTAGACTGAAGAGTTTTGCTAGGTGTATACAAAATGTGTACACATATCTGTCCTTCATAGAAATTTTGTCTGTCACAGACAACTCAAAACCAGTTGTCTGTGAAGGACAGACATATGTACACATTTTGTGTACTCAAGCATTTTTCTAGACTGAATGTTTCATTTTTGACTTTTTCGTAGTAAATTACCATATCAAAAAATTGTTCACCAAAATACCTAAAGCAACTGTTTGGAACAGTCAAAATCAATAACAAAAGAAACACCCCCATAGTCACTTATCTCACCACCGCCTCTTAGACCTCTAGTTCGAAGCCCTGAGTTGCAATATATAGGAGAAACAAATGATTACGATGTTTCTGATTGAACTCTATGTTAGTTTATTCGCGTATAATTCGCGTATAATACACTCAAACGTATAATTCACGTATAATACTCCTGTTTATGAATTTTTCAAAAAATTCAGAAAAATTTGCGTACTTTAAGGATAAAATGTATAATACACGTACCGTACGTATTGATACGTATTTTATTCCCATATAATACTATCGTTTATGATTTTTTAGAAAATTCTGAAAACCTCACGTACTTTAATGCGAGTTTAAGCATAAAATGTATAATACACGTATTGTATGTATTGATACATATTTTATTCAAAAACACACACCATTAAACGGAAGCCTAATGTAGTGATACAACTGAAATGAAATGTTTAGCTGCTCAATATTTTTTATATTGCTTAAAAAATGTATGCCTTATATGTTCGTTAATTGTTTAATAGTGATTACATTTAATAAATTAGGTTAATTAGCTTCTTAAATTCGTAATTCGTTTCGATATTAGTATTGTACTACCACTGTATTACTTTTGTTCTCCACCTATACCAAGACTCCAAAGAGATCGAAAAATGTTGTGGCGGCTCACCAAACACACGGTCACAGTAACATCAACTATTCTCTAATGATATCTCTCTACTTCTACTCAAATAGGCAACGTCATTTTATTACTTATTGTACTTATGTGTTCAAATCCGTATATATGAAAAATTTATTCCGTACATTTTAAATTATTGAAGAATGTGGTGCATGCAAATGCTAAATAACTCTTTATTTCTATTATTAAATTAGT